TTTTTTTAACACGGGCCGGCCCGGGCTCGGCTCGGAGCCCCCACATGGGGCTCGGCCCGAGCCTCGGCTCGGTGCGATCGAGCCCGAGCCGGGCCCGGCTCGGACTTTTTCCGAGCCGAGCCTGAGCCGTCCGAGCCGCCGAGCTTTTTTGCCTTCCCTAGGTGGAATCAATATTTAGTTATCGTCTATTATATAAAATAAAACGGGTGACGCGCAGATTTATTTAGGGGATTAGTTTTTTTATTGGAACCCTTATGAAAAAAGTTATGATATGGCGTTATTTGGATTTCTTGTCAATTGTAAAAACCATAGGTAATATGAATTAATTAAATTAAGCAATTAATTAAATTTCACATAAATTAGAGGAAGTTGTGTCAAAAACCAATTTTATGATTTATGCTTGCTTTGGCTCTGGATTGTTAACCATATCTATTTCGTTATTTAATAAGTGTCGAATTACGTTTTAATTCATAAATTTTAGATATAAATTTATTGAATCTTTCCAAATATAAATGAATAAGATATTATGCAGATAAATCTTTGCTCTTTCCTTTTTTATTAATAAAGAGTATTAAAAATTTTACTATGTAGATAAATTGATATATGTAACGTTATGTTTTCAGAAATAACAAACTTTTTGACAAAACTAAAATTGATTGATTTTCTCTTACCATAATTTATCCCTTTAATTTTGCAAATTAGTTATTTCTCTCGCTAAGATTATGAATGTGGGGCTCATCTGAAGAGATATTTTATAGACAAAAATCCTAAATCAATATGGTTCATAACAAAACAATTGGTATAGTTTGGAGGGGCCACAGTCGATAGCTAACACATAGCGACATTACAACAATAAATGATAAACTTTCCTATTTACATTAGAAACAAAAATTGATTTGTCGAACAATAGCTGAACCAGTCGAGTAAGTTTTCTGTGTTCAACATGCAGTGCAAGGATTAATATTCAGTGGAACTCCTCGTACCTAAACATGTTTGTTCAACTGAAACAATAAGTTTAAACATGTAAAAAGAAAAATGCTATTTGTATATCATTGTTCACATATTGATGTGTACAATGATAATACGGAAGAAAGAGAAAAAGAAGAAGTCACTTTGTAATTGTCTTATAGTTTCTTTTCTCCTTGTTTTCTGGATCAAGGCATTCACATAGACCACATAAAATGAAAGCACACATTTGAACTATTTAGAATTTATCAATTATCACGACAGCTATTTCTTTAAACTTTGTGGTAAATGTTACATGAAGTCTATTTTATGTTGATCAACAACCACGGACCACCTTACGAAGATTAGGAGGAATAAATAGACCTCTCGAATTTGTGATGCCGGTGAAGATGGATGTGTACAAAGATTAATAAGGATGGGTATAAATTTTAAAGTGAGTGTATATTGTATATGTATAAATTTATGTTTCTTTAGAATTAAATAAAAAATAATTTCAAAAAAATAAGCCGAATTAAAGATGAAAACTAAATTTCGTGTGATCAAATCATGTTTCATGTTATCATACGCTTAATTAAATATTTAGTAGGTTCACGATTGATATTTGAACTAGTAGCTAATGATTCTAACATCTAAACATATGCACCAGCACCCCGACAAGAAATATCTCGTTTGGAATAGTCAATCACACCAACGGGGAAATTTTTTTTCTTATTTGACAGCTAAGACCGAAGAATATTCAAATCAAAGACTTGTCAAGTCTAGCCAAGTCAATATTGGAGTGATAAGCTTCACTCCTCTTATATAAAGCAACAAGTATCTCTACCACACAAGTTCTGCATCTTATACTTACATTGCAAGAAACTTTTTTCAATTCATAGTGATATATATCAAAACAACCATGGGAAAGTATGTGATCTTTACATTAATGGCAATGTTCTACATGGTTCTTTGTGTCGCTGCATCTCTCAATAGCTCCACTGATGAGTCTGCTCTTCTTGCATTCAAATCTCAAATAAATGATCCCAACAAAATCTTGTCCTGGTCCCAAGGAATTCCTTTTTGTTCTTGGATCGGCATTACTTGCGGTCGCAAGCACCAAAGAGTTGTAGGCATAAATGTTTCACATATGGGCCTAGGAGGGACTATTGCCAAAGAAATTGGCAAACTCACTTTTCTGAAATCCTTGGATATTAGCAATAACAATTTCCATGACTTCATCCCTGATGAAATTGGTAATATTTCGAGGCTCCAAGAAATAAAGATGCAGTACAATGAGTTAAATGGTCAAATTCCTAGTAGTTTTGGATTTCTTAAAAATCTTCAAAAGTTATCTCTCTCTGGAAACCCTTTCACTGGAGATATTCCAAACGTGGTGTTCAACCTCTCTTCTTTGGTAGAGATTCACTTAGAAAACAACAGCCTATCTGGGAGTCTTCCGATGGATATCTGCAGTAATCTTCCAAAGTTAGAGATTCTATGGATTCCATTGAATCAAATAGGAGGCATTATTCCTCAGAGTTTGGGAAGATGCACCAAGCTCAAGCAACTTTCTTTGGCAAGGAATAATTTCAGGGGAAGCATTCCAATGGAGATCGGGAACTTACCGCAGCTTCAAATGCTCAGACTACAAAAAAATAATTTGACGGGTATGTTTCAAACTTTTTAGTACCTTCACTTCCCTGCAGTAAAAGATATAAGGAATTAGCAATGGATTATTCAACTGCAAAAGGGTTTAAAAATTCATTTCATTCGAGAATCGCCATTGAATCTTTTGTATTTCATACTTAAAAACACAATATAAGGGACCGAAAATCCATCGCGAGTTAGCTATTAGGATGCATGGAACCCTTTTAGAACCTTCCAGGCTTTCAGCTTGGAAACCCAAACTCATCCAGTGGCGGACCCAGCACCAAAGTTCAGCACGGGCGGACCAACTATTGACCACGTGAATATGAATCAATTTTTAAAGGGAAATTTGTAACGTCTGACTTCTCAAAAACATACAATGCAATCATAAATTTTTAAATTATAGTAGTTACCTCCTAAATCTTTGAACAAATGTACGTATGAAGAACCGCTGGACAGTCTTTGTTCGAATGATCGTTAATTGATCAAAATCAAAAGTTTGATCTTAATTTGATCAATTTATTAAAAAGAATCTCTTAATATCTTCAATTAAAATAATTAATATAAGAAAATAATTAATAAACAAAAAAATTTACACAACACAAAGAAAATGGTATATGGATCTTCTACATCTACCCCTTCCACGGTTCCACCCCTTCCCCACTCTTGCCATCACCTCCACTTCCATCCTTACCAGGACTAACACCACCTACTCCCGCTCCCTCATCCCACCGCAATCTGATTTGGTTTCTGGGCAAATACCAGAGCACAAGGGTCAAGGGTCCACCAACCTCCATCTCCAAAAACCACTACTACCACCTCTATCTTCAACATCCAATGCCACCACTTCCATCTTCATACTATAAACCCCTTTTCACCATCCCAAAACCCTGAATACCCTAACCATTAAAGTCTATTGGGCAGAACAATTTCTTTCAATTTTCTATCAATTGATTAAATTCTAAAAACCCTCAAATCTACTTGAGCAAATCCTCCCAATCTCTTCTTCACAAACAATTCTTTTACCACTTACAGATGAATGAACATGGAGAAAGGAGTGAAAGGAATACCTTTAGTGGACAGAACCAACGTAATGAATCATCCAACATCGCCGGCAGCAGAGCAGGGAGAACTGAGAAGAAGAAGTGGAGAACCGACCGAAGCGGCGAAGTCTGAAGGAGTTTGGTAATTGCTAACAGTAAGCTGTCGGGTAATGGGTATTATCCATCCCATGGACCATGGATTGGCCAATTATTGGGCCTAATATTTAAAAAAAGGCCCAACTCTCTTCAGCCCAAAACCAAAAAAAAAAAAAGAGCCCAAATTTAAAATTTTCATCTTCTTCTTCCCTTCTTCTTCCGGCTCTGCAACTAACACTGTGACACAGATAAGCTCTTTGATCATTCGACGGTATTGATTCTATTGAAGACTCCAGCGGATCCAGCACGGGCGGTCGCCCCCCCCTCGCCAGGTGCTGGGTCCGCCCCTGAGTTACTCATCGAAAACTCTTGGAAACTCATATAAAAGTGTCCATACATTATTTATTTATTTATTTTTATTGAAATTTGAAGATTTTAAAGAAACTTTAGGGAAACTGGGGATCTAAATATTAGGTTAACTTTAATTAAAAAAATACAACTTAATTACGGGCTTTAAAAAGACAGTTGTACTATATGTACATCACCATATATAGATTGGTGTACATACGTATAATGTGGTGAAATATGATCGAGTCGGAATTCAATCAAATAAAAAATAAATAAATTTCACACTCTTCTTAACACCTTATTCTCTTCTTATATCTGTAAAACTTTTTGTACTCCTTATTTACAAGTAGCATTAGTTTTAAGAAGTTTAACTTAATGTGGATTTTATATTGGGTTAATTTTATAATTGAGATTGATACAACACTTTTCGTTGCATTGAAACGGTCTCTTTGAAATGCGTCTATGAAATTTGTAACAATTTATTTTAGTAACGTAACATTTTTAATTCCCTATTATTATATATATAAAAAATGTTTTGTGAAGCATGTCATATTTGAATTTTTTCTTCAATATTTTAAAATATTTATTCCCTTACATGAACTAATTGATAAATCAATTTGTAGCTATAAATAACTAAATAGTTTAGCGAAGGTTTTCCTAAAAGGAATAACGTGAAAAAAAATATTTTAAAATATGTTTACCAATTATTATTTAACTAAAAAAAAATTGAAATTGAAGCATTTGGACATTACTTTTTAGATTTTAACATTTTTTTTACTGTGCAGGAAGCATTCCTGACTCAATTGGAAACTTATCTACGCTTTGTTTTTTAGATATGGGTTACAATGGCTTCACAGGTACATTAGCCATCTCTTATTTTGTAGTCTGTTTTAACTAATCTATGTCATTTTAATTTCTTAAAAATCCTCGCAGGTACTATTCCAATTTCAATAGGCAATTTGTCGAATTTGGAGCGTTTTGGAGTTGCTAGTAACAACGTTCAGGGGCACATTCCATCAGAATTGGGACGTCTATCCAATTTAACATGGTTAGATTTTTGCTTTAACAAGCTCGAAGGTGAAATACCTGAATCTATCTTCAACCTCACCAAGTTACAGAGTTTTAGTCTAGTATACAATTATATAACTGGCAATCTTCCGTCAATAGTTGATGGACTCCTTAATCTTCAGTCTATTTCTCTGGCTGGTAACAAATTAAGTGGTGAAATTCCTAGCTCTATTTCAAATATTTCGATGCTCAATATGTTGGAGCTTGGTAACAACTCATTTACCGGACCTGTACCCATGAATCTTGGGAATTTACAAAACCTCCAATGGCTAGGGTTAGCAGGTAATCAGTTGACAAATGATCCTTCAATGTCGGAATTGGGTTTTCTTATTTCATTGAGAAACTGTAGGTACTTGAAAAGCATAGTAATTGGATTCAATTCTTTTGATACAATGCTACCAAAATCTTTTAGCTTGGGCAATATGTCAGCATCTCTTGAAAAATTTGAGGCTTACTCTTGCGGTATCAGAGGCACGATTCCCAATGAAATCGGCAATTTGAGCAACTTGATCTTACTGGAAATGGGAAGCAATAAGTTGAGAGGGAGAATTCCAGAGACACTGGGAGAACTAAAGAAGATGCAATCACTCGTAATTGATAACAATAAACTGGAGGGGCCGATACCTGTCAGCTTTTGCAAATTTGAAAATTTGTACAGCATAATATTAGAGAAAAATGAGCTCTCTCAAGAGATACCGGGGTGTTTAGGGAACCTTACATCCTTGCGAAGGGTTTACTTATCTTTCAATAGGTTCACTTCCACTATCCCATCAGCGTTTTGGACTAACAAGGACCTTGCTATTGTGGACCTGTCTTACAATTTACTCATTGGTTCTTTGCCGTTAGAAATTGGCAGTGTGACGGGAATGAGTCAATTATATCTATTGGGAAATCGATTCTCGGGCGATATTCCCAGCTCTATTTGGGGGAGACTTCAAAGTTTGGAATTTCTAATATTGGCAGAAAATAAGTTACGTGGTCATATACCTGAGACATTTGCTAATTTGACTGCATTGCAATATTTGGATCTATCCCAAAACAATCTCTCTGGTGTAATTCCCAAGTCACTCGAATCACTTCGGAATCTTGTGTATTTTAATGTTTCATTCAATGATCTCAGTGGTGAAATTCCGAATGGAGGATTTTTCAAGAACTTGAGAGCAGATTCTTTCAAGGGAAATAGAGAATTATGTGGAGCATCTCAATTCGAGGTCTTTCCCTGCAAAGGTAATAAATCCAGATGGACAAGAATTTTGAAATATATTGTACCACCAGTTGCCTTTGTAGTAGGTCTAGCCATTATTCTAATGGTATGTTTAGTTAGACGTGGTAAAAGCAGTACGCCTCTTCCACCTCAGTCTAGT